TGGGATGGATTATCTCTACAGGAGGAGTCTAGACATGGTATTGCTCATGTCTAGAGTAGCCAACATGAATGAATGACTATGAATGTCATCATGTATGTGAAAGCTAGTAGGTTCGAATCTAGACGCCATTCTCCTCTATACTATGTAGTCTTGGATAAATTGACCATAGACTGATCGATTTCGAGAAGTCTGACAAAAAAAATCAATCATAACTTGGTAAAGAAATTCTAATCATATGTAAATTGACAATTTTCTTTCATTCTTAAAATCTTTCCAATTGGCATGAAACAAATGTTCATATTTTCTAATTGGTAGTGTGCTATGACAAATTTGACATTTTGGATCAATGCGTTCAACATCATTAATTAATTTTTCATACTTATCACGTTGATCACTACGAATGTCATCAAATTTGTATGCTGCATCTGAACATGTACCAGCTATATAACGATCTATCAGAAAACTTCAAATACATGAATGTATAAAAATTAGAAAAAAAAATATGCAAACAAATTCTGTACCGTTGACAAGTATCACAATATAATTGTTCAACGTTATTATTGAAGCCATCTATAAATTTTTTTATATAAATCAAAATATTTATCATAAGTTTCTCGTGATGTATATTTCAGTTCCAATGCTTTTGTTCCAATTCCTGTGCTATATTCATCAGTATCACAAATATATAAAGTATTGTAATTTTTCAACCGATAATACCTTAAACTTAATATTAACAATGAAAAAATGGATAAGAAATTGTTTAATTTTACCGAGCAACAAAACATTACCATTTAACAAAGATCCAGTAAGAATATCCAAATGAGGTACTTTGCTGACAAAAGGTAAAGTACCAGCTAAAAGCCTTCTCCATCAGGATTAGTAGGCGCGAAGGTCTCAACATAATCACTTGAATGAGGACTTATGGAAGATCAAGACGGTCAAAACCAAATTTCTCGTATCTGTTCAAAGGTTTTGAGAGAAATTTTTATTGGATAGAGCAAAATGAGATGTCTCCGACCTCTTCATAAACTTCCTTCATCGAACTGTCTTTCAGGCTCTCCGTAAATCGAAAACAAGTCGATGAAGGAAGTACATGGAGAAATTGATGACACCCTGTTTTGCTCTAGCAAATAAAATTTTTTCTGAAGATCTTAATCCAAGCAGTTTTGTTAAAATCTTTGAACCTGCTACTACTTATAGAGAATTGTTTCAGTTACACAAATGTTTTATATTTCAGCATTCATTTCAGATCGTGTTTCACAAAAACATAATATCAGATACAATACATAAATCATTTCTTACATGTTTTCATCCGATTTTGATTTATTAAGTGTCGATGGCATCTTTGATCATTGATTCAAAGCTTTCTCAACTTCTTCTGACGATCGATTAAAATCGATTTCTTCAACGGATACTTCTACAGTAGTCTAAAGTTTTTCATATACTATAAAAGATAAGTCATTCATTTGTCATAAAAATGCATTGTTTTCTTCTTTCTATTATCAGTTCTTATTTTGCATCACATCTGATCACTACACAAAGAAAAAAAATACTACGAACAAGAATAGTATTCCAGAAGATTATTCCGAAAAGTAGATTAATCATCGACAAGAAACAGAAAAGGATAATAACATATCAAGTTTTCTGTTTTGAGAAAACAAAGATAGTCATTTCTTTATCAGTTTATACATTCATTGTAAAAGTATAGAAATCAAATGAAAGAATTAAAGGTAATTTTCAATGAACTTACGTTCTTGAATGGATTGTATAAATGATGATGAATCCTAATGATGAACAGCTTTCGTAAATGGATCTTAAAAAAAAAAGAGATAAATGAAGTCGAAATTGAAAATATATTGTTAAATTCTTTTGGCAAATAGATCATATCAGTCAAAATAGAACGAATAAAAATTCAACTTGAAACAACAATATATTTTTCGAGTAAGATGATGTTCATTCAATGAGTAATAGAAAAGTTTAGAATGGTTTTGCTTTCCGGGCTTTCTTTATTTTTCAACAGAAATCCGTAGTCCTACTCAGGTCACATGAAAAATCGACTTTTCAAATTCAAATTTTGCATGAACATGAAATTAATTCTTTGGACAAGTTGTAACTTTTCTAGTTCTTTTTTTCCTATTCTGAGATATTGAATATTCGATATTTTCCGTATTAACAAATATCGTTAAGAACTTTGTTCGCACAAAGTTTAAAGTCGAAATTCTATTTTCTAGATGATTTGAGGCGGACTACATGTTTATATGCTGAAAGATTCAGTAAAATTTCGATATGTGGAGAACGCAGGTTCGGAATAACAATACTTCGACAGTCAACTTTTCTTATTCTCATCTGATGTTTGTCCTTCGATAGATAGAAAAGTTCCTGATAAGATTTTATTTAAAAATTGATCTTGTCTTTTTAATATGTAAACTAAAAAGTAAGAAAAATTTTGATGAGGTCTTGAATAATGTTCGGTGATTCACATTATTGAAGAATTATATTGAACATCTAATTATATACTGCTTTTGCAGATTGCAACTGTCCAAAATGAGGAAAACAACTTCGCGATGGCACATAACTCGAAGCGTTTTTTCTTCGTGGACAACCATAGATCAAGATCACTAAATTCATATTTTAGAAAACTAAAATTTGTCAAAATTAGAACCTCTACTGTAAAGGCTTACAACAAATTGATCCTTCCTGTTTTAGATATTTTGATAGAGAAAATAGTGAATTTCGAAAATACAGTTTATTAGAATTTCAGGTCATTTTGTTTTGAAAATCTGTACTCCTGAGTTATTTCTAATTCAAACTTTCTGTAAGATAAACAGATGTTTGAAACAACCTCAAACTGAAATCAATACAAAACTTTCATGTGGTTCATTTTTTCTTTTATTTTAGCTAAAAGTTATTCAAGTCAAAACCTTACTTTATATCATGAAGTTTGTTCTACAAAATCCTTTATCTGATTACATATTCACATAGCAGAAAAAAAAGACTGAAATTCTATGGCACGATAAATTTACACAAATTATGAATGGCGAAAATACTGATTTTGTTCTGTACAAACATCAATTAATTCAAGTTTAACTCAGCAATACATAAAGGAATAATTAGTATCAATGCTTTTGTACTTTATGTTATCTTGATAACTTTAGAGATGATTATAGAATTCTACACAATTGTGTGAATTGTTCATCTATTAAATTTCTATTTGGGCTTCAATAAATTTAGTTTTGAATTACTTTAAAAGTAATTCAGTAGAAGTCGCTTTTACTTTCCTCGTAGTTACACTCACTGAGTCAAACCATAGTTCTTATTTCGTTCGTTTTTATCATGACTTAATCTATCACTACACTCAAAACAAAAAAACAAACCAGTCAGGATATTTGGTCACCATGCTATCTCATAAGCTGGATAAAACAAGCTTCAGCTATTAATTATTCGAAATGTAATCAATATCAATAGATAGACAACAAGAAAGAATAAATAATATATTTGAAAATTTTGATTTGATGATAAACGTATTCTTCATTCAGTAAATGTCAATCCAGCTGAGATAAATAATCTTTCTATTGAAGCACTAGTGTTTATGAGCACACACATTTCCAATTTCTTTCAGTTGTTCAATGAGTCGGAATTTTCTGAATGTATTAGTTTAATTATGAGAAATTCTCATTTGTTTGAAATACTTCCTTGTCTTGATGATACACTCATTTGTTTACTTGAATCGAAACTATTCGACCATTCATCTTCTAATAAATGAATTGGACAATTAATGTTTTTTTGTTAAATGTTTATTAGGTTCTGGATTGAATAAAAAAGCTCCACTTATTCGTTTCTTTGCTTTATGAAGACCACTAAAATTTAGTCAAATATAGACATATTTATTGAATGTTAATTAATTTAAAAAAAAGGGAAATTTTCAAAACGTTTAAATGCTAAATCTAATAAATTTAGACAACTAGAGTTGAATATCAACCTGAATCAATGTCTGAATTTTCAAGTAATGTTTGAATAAGTGAAGACTAAAATAAAAATTGAACGTTTATTTGCATGATGATGAGTACTACTCGATAATGTTCAAATCGATTATAATGAAGATACAACTATGATCATCAATTGAATAAAGTATTCCAAATTATTCTGTTTCTTTAATTAGAAAAATTTTATTTAAATAAAAATAGAGATTGTCAGTGCAGCTCGTTGAGGACTATAATGTAGAACTCACATGTGCTCTTTAGTCTCATTATACTCCTCCCAAATACTTGAAGTGAAAAATTTCTACCAGATTATAAATGAATACATGAGAAATCAAATTTTACCCATTTTTGTTTTTGAAGTTAATATGATTTTCATATTTTTTTCGTCTTTGACTTTCTTTACTTTTTTTCCGATGAGTTTCTTTCACCATTTCCTGTAAAGGGTGTGGGTATGGGTTTTTGTCTAGAGAAAACTACTCCATTGTTGAATCGTATCACATCTAAAAACTTCTTCAATATTCGTTTTCTTTTTATTTATACACTTAAAGTCATACAATATTTAACTATATAACCTTTAGTGCCAGTTGAGATAACTGTTTTTCTCATAGTTCTCGAGAGAGCTCGTTGAGTATGGGTCTGATCTCTCATAGTTACTACTTTTAAAGTAAAAGTCTGTAATGACCGCATTCATAAATGATCACCATCAGGATGCCATGAGAAATGTGAAATAGATTCTAATGAAAATATGATGAGTAAGAATTCGGCTAACGTCCAAATTTTCGTCTAGCATATCTCTAAAACTTACACTCATTCTATTTTTCTTCGAAAAGAAAGATGTAATGTGAGTTCCACAAAAAACAAAAACAGTCAATAATTTTATCATCAATTGCTAATGATGATGGATTAATATCAAATAAACTTTGAATATTCCCCAATTGAATAAGGGGAATATATTTTCATACCGAATGCTTTTCACATATATTCAAGACAATCGAAGAAAAGAAAACGAGTTAAATGTAGTTATATTGTTGTCAATTCTTGTTGAAGTTCAATAACTTGAAATTTTTCTATATAATCATGATGTGCAGCAAAGAACTCTGCCTAAAATTTAACGACAATAAAACGTACTTAATACTGTCGGAATCGTTTTCTTACTCGACAATTATCAATAATATGAACAATATTAAACATTGATAAATGTTTTTCCGGTTTTCTACTTTGTTCATTTAATTTTTGTTTTGCTATTTCACGTAATTTACCCAAATGAATCAATTAATAATTGATAATCAATATGTTTTATTGATGTATATTTAAGTAAACGTTGAATAAATCGTATCATTAAATACAGCTCAATATTGTTCACCTAATTCAATGTTATGTTCACGAATCTATTCGAAATAATTTTTATTTTTTACATTACCTATTCAATGGAATAAAATTACATTAAGATAAGCATAAAAACGAGTATTCTTTTTTTTTATCTAATGTATGAATCGCTTCCATTGTTTTAGCATAAAATTTTCTAAAATCTATTAGAAAAAAATAAAAATTATATTAAAAATAATATTGGAATTGATTACAAAAAAATAGTTCATTCGAAAATGAAAGTAACGATCTGTATAGATGAGTTAATGTAATACAATAAAATTCAACTAGTCCATCACTGTTGCAATTAAAATCTAATAAGTGTCCGACTCCAATCGGATCACAAGAATTTTGACCTATGTCGTACGGTACTGTACAATATGAATGATTTGTTCAGTACGGGGCTGCCAGATCTTCCGAATTTTGGTACTTTTTCCAAACTCTTTCGAATTTTGAATATTTTTTCGAGACCTGTTATTTCTCTAGATTCGAGATTTAATGACTTTGGTTATAACTTCTAATTTAACTTTCACTAGCAATTCTTGCGCTGTCATTGTTCTACTGTAATCATTCCATAATACAATTTTGAGACTATTTATA